AGTTACCTGGTGCTCATTTATAGTGAAAATGTGTAAATGGGAAGGATATCGAGGTGCATTGTACCTCAGAGTGGGTTGAAGATAAATTTCAGTAGTATGGGACAAGAAAATGAGGAAACAACTTTGAATAACACAGGCGTTACTCCAAGGAGTGATTTGTCAACTCACCCTGCTTGTAGAGTCAAAGTCATGACTGAAAGCAACTTGTGAACACATGATAAAATATCTGGTCCCTTCCCAAAATTGTCTTCTATCTAAAATTCCCTTAAGGCTGGTAGTGTTGGAAACGAGAAAAATTATGACTGTTCGCTCTACGGTAAAGGGACACGTCGCTTTGCTAAAACGACCTGAAGCACTAAATGTTATGTGCCGTAAAGAAGTCATCTTCCTCTCTGATCTCAAAACGAAAGAATATACTCAGCTTGCAAAACCCACTCTCACACGGCTTGTGCCACAAATCTAAGACATTGTCACTATTTTCAGTATGGAAGTTTAACAGTTCTTTGACCTCCGGATTAAATCATACTTGCGATTTGTTGAGAATAGGTTAGGATTATTTTGCTTTGCTAACATTGAAACAAAATATTCTGTTGAGCAATGCAGTACTATGGGGATGTAACCCTTCTTAACCCTACAAAACTATGAATTTCTTCTCACAATGGTATTACGCAGCCAATGGAGTATATGCTATCAGGAAACTTTGCTCCAAAACTCTATGTATCCTGAATCCTGAAACGTTCAAGACCGCTTTTGTGTTCCCTTGCTTCAAGAAGGATGTAACTCTCCTGAGGCATGCTTGGAAAAGACTAACCAAGATGATCGGATTAGACATAGATCCTAATCCCTTCGTACAAAAGTACTAGATTTGGATTGTATATAGTACAGACATGAATCTTGTAGACCAAACAATTTGCTAGTTCTGCCGAACAAATTTCGGAGTTTATGTGAAGGGTATATGAGTACAATGAGTCGTATTGTTCATGCAGTTCTTCACTAGAGTATACCGCTCCTACGATTCAACATCAAGCCGCAAATAAAAGGGCATCATGTCAGGGCACAGCATGAGAGAATATGGGAAAAGCAACATGCTAACCTGATCGTAAATGGAAACAATGTGTAGTGGAATTCACGAAAAGAAGTGATAATGGCTCTGAACTCTGCTAGTTCTTTCGAAAGAACTTTATAGTCCCAGTGTTACCAAAATAGACTACTCCACTTGTTATTACTCAATCACTCATCTCCATATACCTAATGTTTTTATCACATATTTTCTGAAGAAAAATAAGCACTTAAATTTTCTGAAACAAACAACTTCCTCCAACAACAGGAGTCAAGCTCCACCAGATAAAAAGTTCGCTGTTTATACTTGGTGAAGTTTGAGTGTTTGTTTGCATTCTGGTCATTTAACGAGTCACGCTTGACACATGGCGGACTGCATGCCTTGAGCATTGTCGTGGCTCTTTACCCTGGTCGTTGGTGAGAGATGTAATCGAATGGTTACAAGGCTGTTTGGGGTTAAGGCGTTAGATAAAGGCATCTTTACAAACACCCTATTTAACCCTCCCCATTAGCACCATCATGTCGACAATATATCTGATGGGAACTACAGATAAGTACTATGTAAGTTTTAGCATTACTCTGATGAAACATCTTTCCCCATCTGACACGAGGTGTGTAATATGTTGACTGATCGTTGTTACTTCTTCCTCTTACTATATAACTCTGTGGTTTCTCTTTTAGGTCTTTGTCATTAACGCAAATTATGTGAATCTTCTCCAAAGGCTTCGATGTCTGGTATACGGAGATATATACTGGGTAAGTGCCAACATTATTCTGATGAAATATCTTTCCCCATCTGAGTCCAGATGTGTAATATGATATCTGATAGCAATTATTTCTTGCACCTAGTGACTTACCTCTTCTTTTTTTCTACAGTTGCATTCGGAGATAATAGGTTTGGTCTGACAAAATGACTAATTTTGGCCAGGTGGATTCTTTGGGTGTCATTCGAATATAGTAATTCTCTGAAATATTCTTGTAAACAAAAAAATGGTCTGTCAATAGAATGTACTCCTGTGTTGGTTTTGTTTGTTTCTGTTACGGGTATTAACTTGGGTGATGCTCACATGATAGGCGTTCTAGTTGATTTTTAGTTATTTAGGGTTTTTCCTGTAAATTCCCCGGCTATAGTGTCTCAGCTTGCTGGTAGCGCCAGCTTAATGGTTACTCGAACTGAATCCATCAAACTAGGCTCCTGTGTCGTTCGTTGTGTTACTTGGGCCTACACTTAATCACAGCATAACAGTAACAATGGTTGACAGCTGTCAGAGTGAATACCCGGTCAGTTGGCTACGTGTGACTACATCGGCCGTATGTGAGTTAACTTTTTGTGCGCTCCCCAATCCAGAAATCCTAGATTTTTGAAATGCCAGTTGCTTGTACTCCTTCCCTTTATTCAGTTGCAGGGTAGCCGCTAAGATCTGGTTGCGGTATTTTCTCATTTCTTTAGGGTGACCCTTCTACGTGGCCTGTGTGATTGTATTGCATATCCTTGAGCCAAACTTAATGTCAACTGGACGGTAGTTGCTGCATTTGGTTTAGTTTATACTTTATGAGAAAACCAGCTTGATGACTGGTTACTTCTGAGTTTCAGCCAACCGAGATTATAAACTCGGTAGCAAGCGTCGGCTGTCGTAAATATAACGCTTAGTTAGCGATAAGTGATTCCCCATGAGTTATAATGCACAATCTAAGGATAGTTCTTGTTCGTAAAGTAATGGGTCTGACACCACTTCAAAAGTGCGTCGCGGGACAGGACTAGTTAAGTGGGCATTAGTAACTAAACATTGTTAATATTCTTAGTCTTAGGAATCTTGACACGCTACCCACTGTCCTCGCGAAAATGAACAGTCCCATACGTGATTAAGTGTGCTTCCTTCCATACATTAGACCGCCAACTAATACGAAACAAGCAACCTTAGTCTGGATTATGTATATCCGTCTCCTATTCTCATCTCTAGAAGAGCTGTTTATTTTAGAATGAACTGAAACAGCATGTTATCTTTATATCATCAATACGAGTTTTTAACCCAAACTGCTTGTCTCCATTATATACCAGCACGATGTGTGCATACAGTTTTGATAGTGCCGAATTTCCGAAACTTTGATCTTGTATGTAAGTTAATTCATACACCATGCGTCGTCTTACGCAAGTCTCATTTAGGACGAAAAGATTTTTTGCGAACTCTGAATGCAAACTTAAGAGTGTAAGGACTTGATTGAACTTACGTCACAATTTGGTGCTGAGTTTTTTTACCAAATATTTAGTTTGAGGCTGACCCACTTAATTGAACTGATCATGACCCTAAGTTCGGGTAATAACTGGCAATTACTCGTGGTAGTTAAATAATAAGTCTCACTGTTTTCTAATATTTGTTAGGATAAATCCCAATTGGTAATCACCAGTAAGGAGTTTGAATATTATTCTAATATCACCTATTTAGGTTATGCAGAGACAAAAGAGAATCATTGGATTGGAGTTGAACAAGATTGTTAGGTAAAGCTTTCTCTCCAGGAAAACTTCATCTTCTTAACAAAGTATATGTATATATTTGCCGGGTCCAGGGTTGATGGGTGAGGATACGGCATATAGCACTTTACTGGTTCGAACCTCTCTGCATTACATAAGTAATTGACTTATTTTCATTGAAAACAGTCGTCTGACCATATAAATAGTTTTGAGGTGTATATCTTGTTGGGCGTAGTTGACAAGATGTTTCTATACTGGGATTGTTGTGAAGAGGTCAAATAAGTAACAAGAGATAGAAGCTACTTTTTAGAGGTGCTGGCTCGCTGAACTCTTAATCTCGAATTACTATCGTTCGGTTTATGTGACTGCGTAATTCCATTCATCGTCAGCTATCGTCCAATTTACTAACATCTAGTCCGAATTTATTGTCATTTGATCACGAATTATGTCTACGTTGTTCGTATCCTAGATACCTTATTTTGGTATGGATTGTTTCTCTGATTAACTGCGCGTTATGTTCCAACTATTCATATATTTACTTAGTGTTGTCGCTTAGTATTCGTTTACGTTATTTCTAACTACAGCCGTCTTCTCTTCGAGCCCCAGACGCACTTTATCAGAGTTTGATGACAAACATATTCAAAAAGAATCTTATTCTATTATTTTTGGTGTCTTCAACTTATTTCCGAGTCGCTGCATGGTTGACATTAGAAGCCCATCATTAATAATTGATGTTTATTAATTTTGGTCTGTGCGGCACAATAGTAAAAGTGTTACAGGATTGAAGCAGGATATATATACAGAAGCCAGAGCTATTTTTATGAGAATAAATGGTCAACCATGGGGAATTCTGGCATGATTTAAGAACTTAGAAAGTTCAACGAACTATCGGTGTTCACATAGATTATAAATTTACCTTTTAATAGTGTTATCTTTAGAAATTGGGTTTCAATCCAGTTAACCCTATGATAATTTTCAAATAAGAATGGGAACTAATTCGAACTCGATAGTACGGTTACTTAAGTAAACAATGTTTACTGTTATCCTCAAAACCAAGAAACTCAAGAATAACACGGGTTCAGGGAAAGCTCGATATTCAACAAAGTCAGAGAAGTTATAGATGGAACGACTCTGTTCACACATTAATATGTAACGACTCAGGACACAACAAAACTGTCAAATTAGGAGGGATAACAATCAGTCAGATATCAGGAAGGTGTGGTCCAATGATGACACTTCCGAATCCCAGCCACTAATTAGGCAAGAGGTTCGAACCCGACTTATCACCTGCCACTGTTTGGCTAATCGGGTAGCATCACTAGCTCTTACTTAAAGTGTGACTCAAAGTCAAGCGCATGAATCTATCCAGGAATGAGCTTACAACAATCCTTTGTGGGACTAACAAAAGAATAACACATTCAATTATTTAAAACTACAGAAAATAAACGATAATTGGAAATTTTATCTTTTTTGGTTATTCATTATTGGATTTTTCAATAGTTTCATTACAGCAAAAAGAATCTGGTAGTACAGACTCTGAATAACTTGCACGCCACTTATTAATTGGATAAGAGATAGTCGATTGGTGATTACATAATGCACATGACAGACGAATACGTCGTTTCCTCACCCTTATTTTGCCCGACAATTGTAATGGAACTAAGCATTTAGTACATAATGATCGACGTATAGCAAATGATAATCGTGTCTGCGATTTTCTACCAAGAATTTTTAGATTTGTGAGGTTATACGGCATAGCAATGCTGTAAATACTTCATTTTGCAATGTTGGTTTTAAGTCTATGAATAAAGACATTTGTTGATATAATAAATTCATATGATGATGAACAGGTGAAAAATGTGTGACATCATTAGTAGAGTGTTTTTGCTTTGTCATCGTTCAAGTGAACAACTATAAAACGTATTTGATAATGACAGCTGTCGATGTTCTGGTTAGTGACGCGTTATCTACAAATTAATCAACAGAAGAACCAGTATAATCTAGATTTAATCAAGTAAAATTACTCAAAACGTTTATGAATCAGAATATTTATATACAGATAACAGTTGTGTATAGGACTAGCTTTATTTCTGTAAGTCGACCCAGGCCATTTTTGGTTTGTTTATCTGCATGAAATAAGCTACTTGATGACTACAATATTTCATAAACAGATCATATACGCTGAACTTTGCCTTAGGACGCTAATCGATAACAAGGGAAAAATTCGTTAATCAGAATCCCAAATTTTGCCCCGAGTCTCCTATTTCGACTATAGACAAGCTTCTTGTCAGTCCTGAGCAACCATACGGTTTGACCGGCACAATTAACATTGAGCTAACGTTATACTCTTGTAATTAACTTATCCCAATGACTTTCTTAACCACTAGAATTGTGTCCGAAAAGAATTATGCAATCTAGCTTTTCTTATTATTATATCTTAATCGCTCGACCCAACAGAACTTGTCTCAAACACTTGTTAGATTATACAGGCAAATTATCAGACCGCGAAGCATATCAAGCGAGAAGTCGTACTTTGGAAAGACAAACACACAAATGGGAGGGAGAGAAACAAACGATTTGTAATAAGTAAGCAATAACTAAGGGATGTTAAAACGAAAAACAACAGCTAATAGATTTGCTTGAAGCTTATGATGAGGATATAGAAATGGAATAACAGTTATCCGAGAAAACAGTGAAATACAAAACAATAATAATAACCCGAAAAATAGCTCCAAAATTCTAAATATTCGTTTCATTATAATACTGGGTAATCGCTTTATACAAACCGGAAGGTATTTTTAGGCTATTGCGGTGTTAAAACCTCAAGAACACGATTGTCACTTAAGAATTTTCAGAGTTTATGTTTTTGGATATTCATTTACTAGGGTGCTATGATTTTGGTGTACATACAACGTCTGGCTGAGTGAGAATCCGGTCGTATTATCTTAGTAAACATCGATGAATAATATTTGGTGTACTAAAAGTAGAACTTTTATCAAAACACACTAGTCATATTTATAGGTGAAATATTTGACTTTAGAACACTAAAACTGGTGGGAAAACATTACAAGTATTAAAAACATTATCATATTGTTGATCCAGACATCAAACAGATCATTCATTTGGCACGCACCCAAACGTCCTGGTACGGCCGAGGGTGGGAGAGTTAGCTCATCCTCTCGAAGTGCTCTGAAATGGCCACGCGTATACAACCACTGCCTTGTCGCATCGGGGGTATTGTTTACGAAATTGAAAGTACGAAAAGAGAATGTTCGGTGTTTAAACCGGATTGGAGGGTACGGAGCATCTACCTAGGGGAGTTGGAAAATCAAGATTTCAAACCAGTGGTGCACATGGGCTCCAGTATCCTGATGGAAAAAACGGCATATGAACCTATTAATGGTCACCGGCTACCACAGGACTGCATCTCGTAACGTTGCTCTACTATTGTGTGGGTCAGACCTTTAGATCAAAGGCTGCGGGTGTGGCCGCCTAAGAAAGCCACCTGTTTCCGTTTGGGCACTCGGGCATTATCCCAGCCCACAAACGAACCAAGTGACTTGTGTGGCACATATGTATTCGGTGCTCCTTTGTACCAATATTTGTGTTCAAATAAATATATAATAATTCGTTGGCACATAACATAAGCACAGTCACATGTGTTTGTCTAATTAATCCATCATATAAGCTGAGGAATAACAAGAGATAAAGCGAACTCTCAACTTGGAGAAAATTAAGCAATTTTGAGAAATTCACATTACAAAGTTCGAATCAAATGCAGGAAAATGCGCAGGTCTGTATTGTTGTTTATGGTATTCCTAGGTCTGTGACTTGTTAACGAAAATAAAACACTACATTTCCACTGATTTCGGAAAATGTGCAAAGAATTTACTCGAGAAATCTCCGGAGTTTCTTATCCCAAATCTTTATAATTATCGCCTAATTCTGTCATTATTTCCAACAGATACCATGTTTCTTTCACTATTTCCACCCCTACAAAAGCAAAATTATCTAGTGATTATTTATAAAATCGGTCTTTTAGAAATGTCTTCAATATTTATCACTAGAAATCTGTACTACTTTGAAACAGAAGACTGATCTAATGTAATTTGCAAGATTCATTCGGTTAAACAAGAAACTCATGTATTTACAAATAAAAGTTTAAAGGGATGTCGGACAATAATTAATTCGAATTCGCTGTATCCCTGGTATTCCGAAACCATAAAACCGAATCAGGTAAATTGATGATATCCAGAAATTATCATTATATCTCAAAATGAGTGAGTTTAAAATGTAGCATGGTATATGTAACTAATCCACTCACTAGTCCCTCGGGTATGAGAAGCACACCACGCGTAAGGTCGATCACCACAAAATCGAGTCAAGTATGGAGAGAGGTACTAAACATGAATTGTGTCATGAACAACAGCTAATATGTCTATGGACAACCACTAGACAATTGTGCTTTTATAAGGATGAGAACAATGGAAGAGACATGATATCTGTGGAAAATATTAACAAAATAAAGGGTCAGTTATGGGGATTTGGGGTAAGAAACTAGAAGTGAATAGGAACAAGAACTTCCTCGAGTAAATTCATGACATTTAATCAAGATTATGGTCCATGGACAACTTCCGAACATTTTAAAAGTTATCATTAGAAATTTCAACTGAGCACCAGGTTTATAACACAGTAAATATAAGTGTGGGAGATCACTTAATCTCCCTATTATAGGGAAACTATGGGAAGTTTTGAGTAAATTAAAGGATTTTGTGCCATTTCCCGAAAACGGACAAAAGTTTCCCCAAAAAAGGGAGATTGGGTACTTTCAAACATTTGGATAAGGAATTAAGATTTTTATAACGAACAGATAACACCTGTAGCGCGAGAATGTTCGTCGTCCATGCGGATGAATGAAGTTTGTGCTTAGATTCAGTTAGCTCACCCTACATGTGATTGGCTCGTCCATAAGTTACAGCACCGTAACGCCAGTTCAAAAAGAGCACCTGGTACCTCCATTTAATTAACGCGGTTTTCAAGTTTGTCTTCATTTTCAGTGATAGGGATAGTAGTTTGGTGAACCTGAGTTAATCCTGACAGATTGCCTTCCAGTAAAGGTCTAGCTTCTCCTTGAAAACATTCACTGATGGGGTTAATACCACTTGTCCGGGTAAGGTGTCCCAGTCACTGACTATTCGGTGAGAAAAACGGGACCCCGCCTTAAGTTTATTAGATCGTGGTTTGTGAACCTTACTACGATGCGACAAGGGGAGAAGGTTCAGGCGTTTTAAACGCTCACCGTAAGGGAGTTTAAAAAGACCGTTCACTAATTTTGTTCCCACATACTGAACACTCCCGAGTGAGTTTGTTTCCTTTATCCAACATGGGCTAGCTGCTTGAACACAGTACTCTAAATGTGGTCTTACAAAGGTGGGATATTAAATTTTAAAAATTTGCTCGTCAAAGCATTTAAATGTTCGACGAATTGATCATAACACGCAAAAGCCTTTGACAACAACTGCGTCGCAGTGCGTAGTTGTTTTCAAGTCATGACTTATTATTACTCCGTAGTCTTTATGTTCTTGAACGCGTCGAAGATATGTACCATCAATAGTATAATGGTAACTATTACTGTGTACGATGTGCATGAGCACACACTTTCTGGAATTAAATTCTAAGCCGATCTAACTAATTCATCTAAGTCAGCTTGTAAATCAAAATGATCAACCTCACTTGTTAGTGTTCTCCAGATTTTTACATCATCCGCAAATAATAATGTCGCCGACTTGAGCAACAGCGGTTATTCATTAACGTAGAAAAGGAACGGTAGAGAGCCCTTGATGGTGCCTTGAGGTATACTACTTTTGACCGGCTTCCATTCGGATAGAGTTCCATTGACCCTCACTCTCTGTCTGAGATCGCATAAAAAGTTCCCAGAACGCGTAAAACACGTGCGAGCAGCCTAGAGTCCTGATTGGTCCTGCTTTCCTCCTAGCTCAGACAGTTAAGTCCAGAACACCAGTATCAGCCTCTGCAAAATGAATCCTTATGTTTCAACCATACTCAGTTTATATACCAATCAAACAGACCACAACGTACCATAAAATAGGAAACAACATTTGTGCGAGAATAGGCCAAATGTGGCTGTGAGTGTGAGAGGTAGTAATTAATAGACAGGGCGCAACTCAACAATGGTAAAAACACAATAATTGTTTATGAGTCAAAATAAAGCTTATAATAAAAGGAACATGAAGATGAATAGTTTAGTTACTTAACAACTATACGATAAAAATATATGCATAATGTTGGTCCATAAAACGATCCCAAAGTTACCATTCACTATGTTTCTCGGGACCTAACACCTATACATTCCTGTACAGCACCTATTATTTAAAAGCTAGAGATATTCTGCATAATACCTAAGTGTGAAAGCTTGTCGAATGCTTTGCCAAAATCTGTGAATATCACGTCGACAGACAGACCGTTGTCTATGGCTGCTGTCCAATCCTCTCTCGCAATAAATAGGTTAGTCAAGCATGGAGGCTTGTTACGAAACACATGTGACTTAGTAACTTAACCCGTATTATCTTTTCAAGCAACTTAACGACTATGCTGTTTAGACCGACAGGCCGGTAGTTAGACACGATCTGTCTCTGACCATCCCTAAATATAGGACTGACTATAGCGTCTTTCCAGTCTCTAGGTGGTTGGGGAAGTGAAAGAGCCATGTTCAAGAACGTTGTGAGCTTTCTTGAAATAATGTTCGCAGAAGATGACAACAGTCGTAGATGTGGCCTGTCAGGGTATGGCATCTTACAAGGTTTGAGACTAGCTATTAATGGAAGAACGGTTTCTTCGGTCACATTTACAGATCCTATGGCTGATATCTCGGTGTGGTTGGGACAAGTATTTGTAAAAATAAACACAGAGTAGACTTCGCTAAAATAGTTTGAAAAAGTCTTGACTTTTGCCCGGTTTGATTCAGCCAGAAAATCTGAATTTTCGTGAGAAATACCATCACAACGTTTTGTTCACCGTTTAACACACGAAAACAATCGCTTCGGACAAGTATGGCTATCATATGCCAACTGTTGTTCATAAGTAGTACGGGATTTAGATGTAGTCTTTTTACGTATACCCCGGATTGTTTTGTATTCACACTTAAACGATGCGTGTCCTATCAAGAAGAATGACTATCAGAAGCGGTCCCTGCGCTTCAACAGCATCCGAGTTTCCTTATTGATCCATGGACGGCAATGTGGTAGCTTACGTGTTGACCATGGGATAAACGGTGGTATTACAGACTCTCATGCAGCCTTAAACTTATTCCACTCGTCTTCGATCAACCCATACGCGTCGGCCGACCAGTCAGTCGAGGTAGCGCAGTCTCTGATTGCCGAGATATTATCTGACCCGATATAGGGATGGAGTGGAGCAGGTACAAATTGTATACCATCTGTCCTAAGCTTATTTTAAAGTACAACGTGATCACTATTCATTAGTGAGAGAAGGTCCTGGATGTCGATGACATCCTCACAGTGGCGTGTGAGGACAAGGTCCAACAATGACGGGTCACGTTCCAAGTCAGTGTGTGTCGGTTTTGCGATACATTATACAAGTGTAGACTTAATAATAGTTGATAGAAGGTCGCTATCAAAACCCCCACCGTGAGCTATAAGATCCATCCGGTTGACATGCGGTGCGTTGAAGTCTCCAATGACTAGACAACATTCTGCTTTACTCCAAGAACAGATGTGTTTTAGGGTAGAGTCGTCAACAAGACAACACGGACTACAGTATATTCCTCCTACAGTCACTAACCCTTTTCTAGGCCTAATTTTACAGCGTGCTACCTCACATATGCCACCAACGTGCGCCTCCGATATGATTGATTGTATACGAAATTGATCCGTGACGTAAAACATAATGCCTCCTCCCTTGTGACGTAAAACTCTATCACTTCTAATACAGATGTAACCTGCAATGATGGGAGAACTGTCTATATCTACAGTGAGCTAAATTTCTGTGACAACAATTATATCGGACTTAGTTGATCCACCATCGAACTCAGCTCGGACGTTTTATTTTTAAGATTACGGATGTTTCTTCTGCCCATACAGGTCTCAGAATAATTGGATTCCAAAACTTGACTACCCGGAAACCCTTAATCGTAGGATTCGTTTAGCCATTTAACTTTCGAGTTTTAACTACGTAAGGTCATTTTTCACTTACTTCGATCCTCAAGCGGTCAACCTGGTAGGATACGAATATTTGAACCACGAATTTTGTGTGCGTTGTTCACTATTGCGTCTCTTTCTTCAAACGTCCCGAGTGTCAACTTCAAGATCCTTCTTGGTTGGGTCTAGCCTCCAACCCATCCACCGAGTCGTAATACTTTCATGATATATACCCCTGAAACCTCTTCAGGCAGTACATTTCTGATTACAGATTCCACTAACTGCAGATCGTGTGCATGTCTTTTAGCAAGGTCATTGTCTCTCGACTCCTTTAGATTCCAAATAATTAAACTAAAAAGGGATGTGACTTCTTTGAAAATAGTGTTCACGGCTTTCGACCACGATAGCAGATCCTGCATATTAACTGCTAGCATCTTACTATAAGTTTTCTTTGTAACATAGTTGTAGGAGTCGAGCGAATGACTCACAACAATGCTTGATTAGGTCTTACTTTGGGACTTTGGCGGAGCAATCTGACACGTAGAATATGAATCCATCAAGGACTATTCAACTAAACGGGCGTTAGTTTTAGCTATCTTCCCTACCCTTCTACATTTCCACGTCACCCAGTTCCCATCAGTCGCAGCATCTATATTAGGAGTACTCGGGACAACATCCGAATGTCAAGAGACTGTCTCGTAAAACTGAGAATAAAAAACATTCCTGATAACCGTATGTTTTGATCTGGACTGCTTTTTTATTTCTGTAGCTCCCTTTGTTGCGTTTTGTCGTGAATGGCTAGAATCATATGTCGGGATACACAGTGCTACGATCATGTGTAAAGTACTTTCTAAACGAAATCTGGTTTTTACAGCAATACAAATCATTGTCATGGATGATGGCCATCTGATCTCTCATCGCTTCCGCTCATGTTTGACAACCGTAGGTCTAATCGGAGTCGGGAAAAGGGTCCCACTAAAGTGGTGGGCCGACGGGATCCGAACATGCAGCCCTCTGATAATTGCCATAAGCTTGTTGTGTAGTCAGTTATTGTTATTACTCACACATTCTGCAGAGAGGTTTTGTAGTGACTGATACTATGTCAAGCCCACAGAGGCTATTCTAGTTTGTGGACAGATCGATTTATTCATTCTTCTCGAGCCACAATTTCACCTTGCCACTTGTTGGCTTATTAACCTTGACTGATTTTACATGATGGTATCCGTGTTAATTACTTACCCTTTTCATTAAGTGTCTGTAATTTCTTTTTGCCTGATTATAAGTACTGAGTCACGCCTGGTCAAAACGAGTTGGCCCACTCTCCTTCTCTACTGCGCGTAATTTTTCTTCGATTATCTCTCTCTTCTTTGTTTCTTTAACTTCATTCCCCTGATTGACCGTTCAAATCAATGGATGTACAAAATATACGTGTTCAAACTTCATTCGCATATTCGACTTATTTTGAGTTCGTTATTGACCAACGAGATTTAAGTCCATAATTAAATTCGAGGGTTTGCGTAGTGCATATTCCGACAAAAATCAGCAAACGGTCCAATTGGAGCCAGATAGAGGGCCACACTTAGCAGCTGAAAGAATTCCAGTATACGTAAGTATATATATATATATAGGAGTGCATATTTGATGTTGGTAACTAGTCTTGGAATAAGTAATGTGAAGTTTATGTACCTGACGTCTAATCCGTTCTTTAGATAGAGCGAACGGTTGGTTTCTGGACGTTCTCGACCATATTAACTGGGTTGTCATAACGGAATTCCTTCATCATCTGTGAAAAATGATAGTGGAGAGTTCCCATTATTTTGTTTAAAACTTTTCAA